AATATAATAAAACTATTATTAAATAATATATTATATAACTATTATATAGAATATAATAATTATATTAAAATAATTATAATATTATTATAATATCATATTATATGATAAAATAATAATATTAGAGTAATTAATATAATTATGATATTATTTGTTACAATATTATTTTTATATTATATTATATTATATTACGAGTGAATTTTACATTGGGAAGATTGTAAATTTCAAATTTTATTAGGAGTATTATGGATATTATGAAAGTTTCATTAATTGTACTATGCTGATTCCTGTACAATCTAAAAGCTAAAGTTGTCTTTAGGCTGCTTCTGGTTTTGGCTGTAGATTCTTAAAAATTCTACAAAAAGCACTTTTAAAGAGATTTACCAAACAATAAAATCAGCTTCTGTTACAAGCAGAAGCTGATTTTGGGAGGGAAAAGCAATACCAAACTAAGCCATTATGACTAGTGTTTTAAAAATTAATTTTAGAGATGAAAATAGGGAAACGAACTCCTGATCATAATTCATACATAATTGCTCTTTTAAATGAATGAAGTTAGCTAATAAGCATTAAAACTTCATTGCAATTAGAAGAATACTATAAATTTACATAAACATCTAATTTTTCATTCATATTTTGTTAGATCTTTGCCATTCCATGAATATGATTTTCTTCGCTTAATACTTTCTTTACGTGCCATTGCCAAGGAGTATTTGACAAATCCTACAAATTAATTAAACCGCGTTGTGCATTATTACTACATAGCAAAACAAAACTGTGGCTAATAATATATATATAACCAGATATTGCAATGTCAAAAAGGAAGGACGTAAAAGTGGCCTCATTACTTTTGTTTATAAAGTAGTGTTGGAATTTTGATGTGTTCACATATAGATTGGTGAAACATATGAACGATTCTAAACATATATCCTGATATTTAATATTAACTAAGGTAGTAAGAGAATCACACGTATAATTCACTTGTTTACAAAAGTTAGGACACGTGAAACTATTGTCAATATAAAGCTCTGAACTTGAAGAACAAATGTCATATGCTACTTGATATTGCAAGAAAAAGTTATATGATTGTGGCACTGACGCCTCTAAATTTTTATCCACGTTTACCACCTTATAAATTATTTTATTAGACACTAACAATCATGTATTATTATTTATAGCCACTTATAACTCCCCAAATCATTTCGTTAAACAATAAAAAAAAAAAAAAAAAACCTATATTATTATTATTGCAACTTTGTCTTAATAAAAAAGATGAACAAATTAGGGGTTTTCAATTTAATCGACAAAAAAAAAGTTGACGGTCGGTTAGGGGTACAATTACAAATGTGAGAGAGGTTGAGTCCTGTTACAAAGAGGCTGTCTTAAACAATTTGCATTTCCTTCTTCATTGATATGGCACTGCCTCCTTAGTACATTTCTTTAGTGCCGTCATTAGTAAATTCCTATAAAAAAGAAAGAGAATTAGTTAATTAGCAAATACCTAACTATTAACTAAAACTAATTGACTAATTAACTGCCTCATTGGTTTATTTCTTCATTGTCGGTTTTATTTTGTGCTAATTAACCTTAAACCTAACGACCTTAAGCTCATATCCATCTTGCAAATGCCGACATAGTAATTACATGTACTTTAGTACTATAATACATATCTATACACACACACACATAAAATGTGAAACTTTCATTCCAACGATTTTCCCAAATAAGGTGATGACCACCGGCCCTGAAATTCAGCAGGGGGTTACTTAACTAAATGGACTTTCTCATCTTCCAAAACTTAAGCCGAAAAACGTATTAAAGAAAAAAATAAACATCAGGAATTAAGGAATTAAGGATAAGGAAAATAAAAAAAAATAAAAAAGAAAAGAAAAGAAAAGAAAAGGAACTGAATAAATAAGAGTGAGACGTTATTGAAGAACCTGTACCACACAAAAACTGCCACATGGACAAGTACAAAATTAATAAATACATTACACACATAAACGCTAACCCAAGCGTAGGGTTAAGTTAACCATATAAGGCGGTTAAATTCTAACCCCACAAGAGCTTTTCAGAGTTTTGCCCCTCTCTATCTTGTCACTTATATATCGACCACTCTCTCTCCTCGTCTATATATATTCCTCATGGAGTTAACGCCCATTGTAAAATCACTCTCGTTTTCTCTCTCTCTACTGCGTTTCTGTTTTCCTGAGTGTTCACTTTCTCTCTCTAGACTTATCAGAAGTAGTAGAACCTGAAACACAAGAGGAGAAAAAAAAAAAAAAAAAAAAAACTGGCAGAGGCAGAGCCTTAAGCTTTTGCAGATACGACACTTCCACATTCCCATTATTATCCTTCTCTTCTCTCTCTCTCTCTCCCTCTCTCTCTCTCTCTCTCTCTCTCTCTCACAGTTAGTTAACTAACGGTTTTTTCCCCTCTCTTCCCAATTTGCCCCTCCTTCCCCTTTAAATTTACATTTACATGCCATTGGCCCTCGTCTGTAAGATCTGAAAATTTTCTAACCAGTGACCACCATGATTACTTGGAAGGACCTTTACACCGTCTTGACGGCGGTGGTTCCTCTGTACGTGGCGATGATCTTGGCCTACGGCTCCGTCCGGTGGTGGAAGATCTTCTCGCCGGACCAATGCTCCGGCATCAACCGCTTCGTCGCGATCTTCGCAGTCCCTCTCTTGTCCTTCCATTTCATCTCCACCAACAATATCTACGCCATGAACTTCCGCTTCATCGCCGCCGACACTCTCCAGAAGATCATCATGCTTTCCGTCCTCGCAATCTGGACGAATTTCACCAAGAACGGAAGTCTGGAGTGGATGATCACGATCTTCTCTCTTTCCACCTTGCCTAACACCCTAGTTATGGGAATTCCCCTTCTGATCGCCATGTACGGGGAGTATTCCGGAAGCCTCATGGTTCAGGTCGTGGTTCTGCAGTGTATAATCTGGTATACGCTTCTCCTTTTCCTGTTCGAGTATCGCGGCGCCAAGATGCTGATCATGGAGCAGTTTCCGGAGACGGCGGCGTCGATTGTGTCTTTCAAGGTCGACTCCGACGTCGTTTCTCTCGACGGAAGGGACTTTCTCGAGACCGACGCCGAGATCGGCGACGACGGGAAGCTCCACGTGACGGTGAGGAAGTCCAACGCTTCGAGGCGGTCTCTGGCGATGACGCCGCGGCCGTCGAACCTCACCGGAGCCGAGATTTACAGCCTTAGCTCGTCCCGGAACCCTACGCCGCGAGGCTCCAACTTCAACAACGCCGATTTCTACTCCATGATGGGAGTCCAGGGCTTCCCGGCCCGGCATTCCAACTTCGGCCCCGCCGACCTCTACTCGGTTCAGTCCTCGCGCGGCCCGACCCCAAGGCCGTCGAATTTCGAGGAGAATTGCGCGCCGATGGCCCAGACGATCGCCTCCCCGAGGTTCGGATTCTATCCAGCGCAGACGGTTCCTTCGTCGTACCCTGCTCCGAACCCGGAATTCGCGTCCGCAGTGACTAAAAATGCGAAGAATCAGCAGCCGCCGACGCAAGATAAGCCTCCGCAACAACAGCAGCAGCAACAGCAGAGCTCAGTGAGCAAAGCGAACCACGACGCGAAAGAGCTCCACATGTTCGTGTGGAGCTCGAGCGCCTCGCCGGTGTCGGAAGGCGGCGGACTCCACGTGTTTGGCGGGACGGATTTCGGCGCCTCGAACGAGCAATCAGGACGGTCCGATCAGGGTGCGAAGGAGATCAGAATGTTGGTCGCTGATCACCCTCAGAATGGAGAAAACAAAGGTACATTTAACTGATTAATTAATTATTCAACAAAATTAATTAATATTCAAATACACGAGCTTGATTTAATTAAATACTATTATTCAAAATGTGGTTATTATGATGCGTGAAGCTGTTCCGGACAGTGAGGGATTTGCTGGAGAAGCGTTCAGCTTTGCTGGGAGGACCGTCGAGGGAGACGATCAGGAAAGGGAAAAGGATCAGATGGGTCCCACTGGACTCAACAAACTGGGGTCCAGCTCGACGGCGGAGCTACACCCAAAGATCACTGAAAACCCGGACGCCGGTGTCGGAAAGCAAATGCCTCCGGCGAGTGTCATGACCCGTCTGATCTTGATCATGGTATGGAGGAAGCTTATCAGAAACCCAAACACCTACTCCAGCCTCATTGGTCTCGCTTGGTCTCTCGTCTCTTTCCGGTTAGCCAATAATTTAACCCCAAAAAAAGAAAAATCCAATTATATATTTACTTAAGTTTTATCTAGTTAATTTTTCTTTTTTTGTCGGGGTTTTGTTTTTCTCTTTATTTGTAGGTGGCATGTGAGTATGCCGGCAATAATAAAGCAATCAATCTCCATACTGTCAGATGCAGGGCTTGGTATGGCTATGTTCAGCTTAGGTGAGTGGATATAATCATATAAGTACCTCTTCACTTTTTTAATATATAATAATAATAATAATAATTTTAGCTTTAATTCTTACTTCCCTTCTCCATCCTCATAATTGAAATCTCGATATTTTTCAAAGTTGAATTTTTATTAATATAGAAATCATCTGCGGCGCCAAATGGGATTATACATAGATAAATATATTAATGGTGAGAATTGTTTTGGGCAAAAGTGTAGCAGCCGTGGCATAATTTAGATCATATGAACTAGTTAGGCAAATAGGTTGGCACTTTGGCAGTGATGTCTACGCTTGTCTGTCGTACTATTATATTTGGTTATGGCTATCCATTCTCAGGACACCTTTGTTTGTCACACAGTTAGAAAAAATTCTTAAGGACACTAAACACTTCACTTATAGACCTTATACCATATTACTCATATTTTATTAATGTGTAGCATTGTTGTCCTGTAGTATTGGTCCATGATTAGAGATTATTAGCCAAGGCTTAATTAGCTTAGCTAAGGAAGTTCCATTTTAGACTAATGTATAAGTTAGAATTGACCCACCCGACATGTGGGGCCTCATCTCAACGTCACTTGCGGTCCATGGGTCGGTGGCCGAGCATTGGTTATTGACATCTACCTATTTTTTTGTTTCCCTTTTCTTTATTTTATGTGGTTGAAACTTCTGTGAATAATTATTAAGGCCTCATGGGGTGTATATTTCTTCTGATGTATCTGGTTGTTGTGGTTACTACTAAATATTGTAGGTCTCTTTATGGCCCTTCAGCCCAAGATAATTGCATGTGGGAACTCGGTAGCCACCTTTGCCATGGCTGTGAGGTTCCTTACTGGCCCGGCGGTCATGGCCGCGGCCTCCATTGCCGTTGGCCTTCGTGGTACTCTTCTCCATGTAGCTATTGTTCAGGTAAAAACATAATTAACTTTCTTTTCTATCCTTTTTTTTTCAATAAATACTGTAATTTTATTTATTTATTTATTTATTTATTGTCAATTAGTTTGTTCTGAGTATTATTTTGATTGTTTAAATGTAGGCTGCACTTCCACAAGGGATTGTTCCTTTTGTTTTTGCCAAAGAGTACAATGTCCATCCAGCCATCCTTAGCACTGCGTAAGTCAAAAGTTTCAATTACACCACGTGACCTGTTTTATTTTTTACTTTTTTTTTTTTTTTTGCTAGAACTAATTAATGTCCTTTGTGCTGCCAAAACTGCAGGGTGATATTTGGCATGTTGATAGCATTACCAATCACTCTTCTCTACTACATAGTCCTTGGATTGTAAATTATGGCATGCGTTTCCCTAATTAGCCGAGATACAAAAGCCAAATGAAGAGATCAGTTTTTCATGAATATTGACTAATTGTGTGTCACACTCTAGGGGGATCAGGATCATCGAATTAAACTCGAATTATGTTGTTAGCACATGAGGATTTCTGGGAAGATCAAGAAGATTGGAGAATGCCCCGAGATTTGCTTCTTCCAAAATTGTTGGAGCTTAGAAGAATTTGACTTAGTGAATGAAAAAAAAAAAAAAAAAAAAAAGCCCTGTTATAAGCATCATTTGCCCCCACATTAAAAGCCAAAGCTTGTCTAATTTTCTAAAGCACGAGGGGGGGAAACCAACGCAAGCTAGCCTCCCCGTGTAGCCTAAGGGAGACAAGATGAGAGGGAAACCAGGAAAGGAAAAAAAGGTAGTATAGTCAATGATATGTAATTCATTCTCTTCATTTTGGGTTAGGCATGTAGTTTTTTAATAGTCTGATTGTGAATGAATTGAAGGGAAAAAAAAAAAGAAAAAAAAAAGAAAAAGGAATAGGAGAAGAGAGCATATTCTATTACTATTGTTATTGATTTTCCTTTACTGCCTTTTGTTCAAAGTTTGGTTTTCATTTGTCCGTGCATCCAGCAATTATTTGCGTTTGTCGTCTTTCTTGGTTTGTAATTTTGCGTAGGATATGATTATAAGCTAAAAAAAAGAGGAACACTCTTTAGACACCATTCACCTTGTGCCTAAAACAAAAATGATGATGTATTGTTGAGAACGACAGGGAATTGGTTTGGCTTCCTTTAAACTGATTGTTTAGTTGGTAGATTCATATTCTGATTTGAAAATCATAATTTATAATTTATTATAGTATTTTTTTTAAATAAAAAATACACATAAATTAAAAATAATTCTGAATTTATGAATCAAATGTCCATTAAACACAAAAAAAAAAGAAAGGCAAATATAAAAGCATGTCTTCTTTCTATTTATTTTATTTTATTTTTTCAATTTAATTTTGTACTTCTTCTCTTGAGCACTTTAGAGGGGCTTCTAATGGGAAGCTGTCAGAGAAAATGTGAGATAAGAAAAGTGGAAAGTTGCTGGAGTCAAAAGCGAATAGCTTACCACACTTTTCATTTTAGGTTTTGGCTTTTGATGCGCCCACAATCCTACCCTACCATTACCCTATACTTGGGGAGATGAGGACAATTCAATTACCCCAACTAGCTAGAGTGGTGATCTGGTTAGAAATCTTTTTTTTTTTTTTTTTGTTAGTTTTTCTTTTCCCCTTTCACAAGGAAAATGATAGCACGTCAGTGCAATGTGCATCACAATCATCGTTTCCCCCCTCCAGTCTGCTAAAGTTGGTTTTTTTAGAAGGATAAATATATCCAACGTCTTATAATATCTAAATTAAATTTTTTTAACTGTTAAATGTGATAAAAAATCAAATTAAAATAAAATAAATATACACAATAAATAATTATCAATAGTTTCTTTTTCAAATCCTATCGTAAAAATTTTCGTTATAATATCATTAATGTTAACAACTAGGATCGAGTAGATTTCTTTTAGGTACAGCCCATTAGAGTTCAATAATCTATTCATTGTAAATGTTCACCAAAAAATCTATTGATTAATATGTACTTTTCTTACTTTTATTATATTTGTAAATATTAATAGACTTTAGCAGATAATAATTACGAAAGTGTCTAAAAATATCCAAACATTGATCAGGAGACATTATTTAAAAAAAGCAAGAAAAAGATATTAGTACTTTGTTGATATATTCTTGTCCCTTTTATCTGTATAAAGACTTATATTTATCAATGATACTACAGAAACACTTATAAATATCCATGTTTACCTAGGTTCCTTTCATTTCCTTTAAACAACACGTAAATAAAGGAAAGGAAAGTTAGGTTTTTTTTAAAGGTTAATTTTGCTTTTAGTTATTTGTCAGCTTCCTTTTTAGTTTTCCTTTTCTTCACCTTTTATTTTTTTTAAGTTGTGGCCATGTATTTCCGAGAGAGAAATATAAAGGAGTAATGCTAGGGAGACCCACTTAAATTCTAATTTTGATGTATAATTGATGTGATATGAGAATTGTCATTTTTTTTTATTAGTATATCTAAGTTGTTAGCACATGAGGATTTCTGGGAAGATCAAGAAGATTGGAGAATGCCCCGAGATTTGCTTCTTCCAAAATTGTTGGAGCTTAGAAGAATTTGACTTAGTGAATGAAAAAAAAAAAAAAAAAAAAAAGCCCTGTTATAAGCATCATTTGCCCCCACATTAAAAGCCAAAGCTTGTCTAATTTTCTAAAGCACGAGGGGGGGAAACCAACGCAAGCTAGCCTCCCCGTGTAGCCTAAGGGAGACAAGATGAGAGGGAAACCAGGAAAGGAAAAAAAGGTAGTATAGTCAATGATATGTAATTCATTCTCTTCATTTTGGGTTAGGCATGTAGTTTTTTAATAGTCTGATTGTGAATGAATTGAAGGGAAAAAAAAAAAGAAAAAAAAAAGAAAAAGGAATAGGAGAAGAGAGCATATTCTATTACTATTGTTATTGATTTTCCTTTACTGCCTTTTGTTCAAAGTTTGGTTTTCATTTGTCCGTGCATCCAGCAATTATTTGCGTTTGTCGTCTTTCTTGGTTTGTAATTTTGCGTAGGATATGATTATAAGCTAAAAAAAAGAGGAACACTCTTTAGACACCATTCACCTTGTGCCTAAAACAAAAATGATGATGTATTGTTGAGAACGACAGGGAATTGGTTTGGCTTCCTTTAAACTGGTTGTTTAGTTGGTAGATTCGTATTCTGATTTGAAAATCATAATTTATAATTTATTATAGTATTTTTTTTAAATAAAAAATATACATAAATTAAAAATAATTCTGAATTTATGAATCAAATGTCCATGTCCATTGAACACAAAAAAAAAAAGAAAGGCAAATATAAAAGCATGTCTTCTTTCTATTTATTTTATTTTATTTTTTCAATTTAATTTTGTACTTCTTCTCTTTTAAACTGATTGTTTAGTTGGTAGATTCATATTCTGATTTGAAAATCATAATTTATAATTTATTATAGTATTTTTTTTAAATAAAAAATACACATAAATTAAAAATAATTCTGAATTTATGAATCAAATGTCCATTAAACACAAAAAAAAAAGAAAGGCAAATATAAAAGCATGTCTTCTTTCTATTTATTTTATTTTATTTTTTCAATTTAATTTTGTACTTCTTCTCTTGAGCACTTTAGAGGGGCTTCTAATGGGAAGCTGTCAGAGAAAATGTGAGATAAGAAAAGTGGAAAGTTGCTGGAGTCAAAAGCGAATAGCTTACCACACTTTTCATTTTAGGTTTTGGCTTTTGATGCGCCCACAATCCTACCCTACCATTACCCTATACTTGGGGAGATGAGGACAATTCAATTACCCCAACTAGCTAGAGTGGTGATCTGGTTAGAAATCTTTTTTTTTTTTTTTTTTTGTTTTTTTTTTCCCCTTTCACAAGGAAAATGATAGCACAAATCCTATCGTAAAAATTTTCGTTATAATATCATTAATGTTAACAACTAGGATCGAGTAGATTTCTTTTAGGTACAGCCCATTAGAGTTCAATAATCTATTCATTGTAAATGTTCACCAAAAAATCTATTGATTAATATGTACTTTTCTTACTTTTATTATATTTGTAAATATTAATAGACTTTAGCAGATAATAATTACGAAAGTGTCTAAAAATATCCAAACATTGATCAGGAGACATTATTTAAAAAAAGCAAGAAAAAGATATTAGTACTTTGTTGATATATTCTTGTCCCTTTTATCTGTATAAAGACTTATATTTATCAATGATACTACAGAAACACTTATAAATATCCATGTTTACCTAGGTTCCTTTCATTTCCTTTAAACAACACGTAAATAAAGGAAAGGAAAGTTAGGTTTTTTTTAAAGGTTAATTTTGCTTTTAGTTATTTGTCAGCTTCCTTTTTAGTTTTCCTTTTCTTCACCTTTTATTTTTTTTAAGTTGTGGCCATGTATTTCCGAGAGAGAAATATAAAGGAGTAATGCTAGGGAGACCCACTTAAATTCTAATTTTGATGTATAATTGATGTGATATGAGAATTGTTATTTTTTTTTATTAGTATATCTAATTTTTTATCATTAATTGATATGATAATATTTTAAACATCCATTAATATAAAAATGATAACTTACATGCAGTGACGAAGCCTGAAATTTTCGTCAGGAGGCTAATAAGTACGTAAAAACTTTTAAATAGTTGGGCTATTTTGGTTTTGGAGAGTATTGAGTTTTAGGATTTTTTCTTTTTTTTGTTTAAATGAATGTAATGAGTTCTACTTGGACGTTTGCATAAAATGATGTTTTTCAATGAGTTTTTAGAGAATGAAATCAAGTTTTTATGACGATTGGTATGTAATTTGATGCAATAGATATATAGGATTTGTTAGGGGAAAAAAATTTTAGGGTTGGGAGAATTGTCATTTTTTTTTATTAGTATATCTAATTTTTTATCATTAATTGATATGATAATATTTTAAACATCTATTAATATAAAAATGACAACTTACATGCAGTGACGAAGCCTGAAATTTTCATCAGGAGGCTAATAACTACGTAAAAACTTTTAAATAGGTGGGCTATTTTGGTTTTGGAGAGTATTGAGTTTTAGGATTTTTTTTTTTTTTTTTGTTTAAATGAATGTAATGAGTTCTACTTGGACGTTTGCATAAAATGATGTTTTTCAATGAGTTTTTAGAGAATGAAATCAAGTTTTTATGACGATTGGTATGTAATTTGATGCAATAGATATATAGGATTTGTTAGGGGAAAAAAATTTTAGGGTTGGCTAAATCAAGTTTTCAAATTTTTTAATGGGGACTCTAATGTAATTTGAAACAAAACATATAAAGATTAAAAGAAATAATAAAAAGCCCTCTCAACCTTCAAGTACCTTCGTCCCTGCTCACATACTACATCTGTTGATATATAAAAGTTGATATTTGAGTTGGCCTTTAAAGCATTATTCATTTAGAAGACGTTGGCATGGAAAGTGTATTTTTTTCCCCTCCAATTATTGAATGTTGTGCATATTCTAAAAAATGTTAGTAAACAAAGGTATTATTTTCTGTTTATTATTCTTATCAATGATTACTCTTAAAATTAAGAGATCTAACCCCATCTACCAACAAGGATATGAATTGTGGTTCTAGAAATCAAACCAGAACAATGAAATTAATGTGCATTCTAGGGGACCCACAGAGATTAACAAATATTTATTCATTAAAGTGTAACAAATTAGAGTAGGAATCAAATTTATATTGCAATATTAAAAAGAGAATACAATAATTTAGGGTAGATTTAGGTGCTCAACCTAATTGAGTCAAACTAAAGTGTCACAAACTGAGTAGATTTGCGATGCATTTTAACATGTTAGCAATGTATGATTACAACCTTAGGCCTGTATTTATATAACCAATTTACATAATTTATAGCGAATATACACATGTATATTAAGCCTAAGGGAAACCGTACATTTCACA